AGCTGTCCCTGTCAGCTGCAGCCACTGATGCTTTCTAGACATCGTGATTTCCCAAAACTGAATAAATACCACACATAGCAACACAAAACTGCTTTGCTAGCTCAATCATGTTGTAACGGCTGGATGGTTGATGCGTACATGCTGATTCGGGTGCTATCAGAGCCGATCCGCGCATCACTATGGCTTAACGATCAACTCAGTCAATTAAAACAACCCATCCTGTGTTAGGAGTGTATGTCGCTGACAGAAAGAAAGAAAGAAGGAAAAGGGAAAAAAAGATAGAAAAGCAGCGTACACCTCACATATTTATTTCTCACAGTTGAGCACACGTGTGGCTGGCATGCAGAAGCACCGTCTGTGTGTCTGTGTGTCGAGGGTGCGAGCCGCAGCTTCAGCTGCTCACGTAGAGAGGCTGTGTAGCCCGGTGTGTTTTTTTGCTGATTCGGTTCTGCAGGTTCTCTGCTGGTACACTGGAGACGGGGATCAAGCGGTTTGTCTCACTCGGGATAGATTGTGCTTTTTTGGTTCATAGTTTATGATTGACGTGCGATTTATTCGCGTTTAGAGGGAATAAATTTCCGTTATAACGGAAACGTGGGCACAGTTATCTAACGTTATACAAAATACACACTAACTAACTAACTAACTAACTGATTGAATAACATAAACAACTGAAAATTGAAAAAAAATTAGCTTGCACCGTTAGCTCCAGTAAGGGAAAGCATGAGGGAAAGCGGCTGACCGGAAGTCACACACAAAAAAGCGGAAGTTGATCACTATTTACTTCTGTGTTTGAAAATAAGGTGGATTAAGTGTGTGTCTTGTTTTCTCTCAGTGCCAGTTCATCTTAGGTCCTTGTGTGTCTAGTGTTCCAGCCTTTTGTTTCCCTGTGTCCTTTTCTTGTTTTTTTTTTGGAATTAGCCCATTGATTGACTCTGCCTCATCCCTATTGGATTTGTTTGCCTCCACTGATTGTCCTCCTGGTTACCAAACCTACCTTTTGACCAATAAAGACTGTTATTTTATCTGAACTGTTTCCAGAGTCGCGTTTTTGAGTCCACTCTCACCTGGTTTACCTGTTGTTTCAGCAATATACAATCTTCACTGCTAGATGCCACTAAATCCCCCTAAATCTTACACAGTGTTCCTTTAAATTGTGAGATGCAAAACAAAACAAAGGCGCTACAAAACCTACATAAAACCAAGTATAACTGCAGGTTCATGTGATATTCTGTGCAGGTTTGTCATGACAAGTGTCCCCTTTTATATACACACACTCATTTGGTCCAATATTAATATAAAATATGGATTAGAGTGGAGAGGAATAGGATACTGTTTATGGTGCTCACAAAATTTTAAAATTTCATATAACATTTCAACATACTGTGGCTTTCCAGAAAGGAGCATTTCAGTTTCTCTGGAAGACTCTCCTGTCAACAGCTTTTATGGTGACTGTTTCTTCTGTAGAAAGCTGTTGCTTTGTAATTTAACTCCAACACATAACTCTCCCTAAACCCACAAATTGTTGTTTTCACATCTCTCTTTCCATACAAGTTAAACAAAAGAGATACAACGTGTTAATCAGTCAGCTTCGGAGGTGTTGAAAGGTGTAATTTTTTTTTCGCTTTAGACAGAGCCAGGCTCGCTCTCAGTCTTTAAATCCATCCTCTCATCTCACTCTTGGAAAGAAAGGAAACATGCATTTCTTAAAATGTTCCTTTAAGCATGAATGGAGCTATAGATTCCTCTCAGTGCAGCTTTAAAGGTAATGAAGCAGATAGGTACATGTGAATCAAAAACAACACTGACCTCAATCCGGGCTGCTATGCTATTATCCTCCGCCGTCCAAAGGGCCTCTCACTGGAGGACAGTGCATATGTGTGTGTGCGTGAGGTCAGAGGTACCAACATACTAGTTGCCGTGGTGATTAAGCTCCTCTTTCAAAGTTGGGTCTCATCTGAAGGTGGGCCTTCACTTTGAAACAGAGGACCTGGGTTTGTGTCAAACCACCACAAGGGTCTCAGCACTCGCTCAAAAACCCACCGATGACAGCTGCTGTTAGGAGATGAGAAGAGCCATCCCCACAGCAGAGGACATCGACCTGCAGGACCCAGCTCTCCCATGGGAACCTGTGGAAGCTCCTCATGGGCCCCCCCTGAAACTGGTGCCTCTTCCATCACCCACCCCGAGCTTTCCAGTGAGCCCTTTGATGTCCTGAGATCTGGGCAGCCGTGGACATAGAGGCCTGTCAGCCTGCGGGGGGAGATAGCTTGGAAAGTTACCAACCAATGGGCAAAAACAGACTTGATGACCATGTCTGTGTATAATGTACTTTTAATTTGAAATTAAAGAAATACTTCACCCCCCAAATGACCATTTGTTTATCCGTTACTCAACCCTTGTTAGGCTTTACTTGTGAACAAAACTTTGTTTTTCTCGCATGTTTGCAAGGTGAACAAAGAATGCAAAAACTGAGAAAATTCTTGATGAATTGAAGTCATAGGGGTCCATGTTTAAAAATAGCAAAACTATATCAAAACATCTGTTTACAAACTTTCACACAGCTCATGCAGTATTATCTAAGTCTTATCCAGTCATATGCTCAGTACTTCGCAAACAGATAGCCCTGTCAGACGGGGAACTGAAATAAAAGTGAAACTTTACACTTTCTTTAAAGCCAGACTCCGCTTAACAAAACTGTAATTTTATCTTGATGAAAGCTGATGCTGTTGGTCTACCACTGCCTTAATCGATGTTTAATCTTGTTTTAAAACCCTCAACCTGGGGTCCTGACCCCCACTAGGGGTCACCAAAGCTTCATAGGAGGTCATGAAGCCTTCTTGATTTTAAGAGGTCCTACAAAACTTAAAAAAAACCAACCTGCCCCCACACTCTTGCAAGCTGGCACAAAAAAGACATGAGAGCAGCACCCAGCACCTGACTTCGCGTTTTCCAGGTGGTTTAAGACACGGCATGTATACGGTCCCTCAGAAAAGTACGCAGTAAAAAAATTCTAAAGAGCTAGTAGAACAATGGCCGAGCGTCAGAGAGAAGGAAACACTGAATTTGTCAAAAAAGATGCCTATCAATAATAAAATAAAATACATAATACAGACAGAGAATCATATTAAACGTTGATAATAATATCAGGAAATCTCTGATGTAAAATTCACAGAAAATAATCTACTCAAGATTCATCCATATCGCTTGTTTTACATAAATGTCCTGCAGTTATTGGGTTCACAATTCAGGTTAATTGTACAGTTTAACAGTTGTTGTGCACTGTTATTGTTATGCATTGTAGGTATTTCTTATCCATAAACTGTCACTTGGTCAGAGGTTGTCAGTTTACTCAATGAAAGAAAAGGGGTCCCTTAAGGGAAAAGGTTGGGAACCACTGTTGTGAGGGGTTAGTTTGGATTCAGTGGTAGACCAGCAGGTCGTGCGTTCAGCAAGGTAAAATCACTGTTTTGTCAATGGAGTCTGGCTTTGAAGAGAGCTTAGATGTTTTACTTTTAGGGACAAAACAAAAAAAGTAAGTAAGTAAGTAAAGTTTATTTATATAGCACCTTTCACAGATACTAGATCACAAAGTGCTTTCCAGTAGAAAAAGCAAGTACAACAATATAACACAACATTAAAAACAAAGCACAAAACAAAGCATTAAAAAACAGACAAGCAAGAGAACAAATACAGGATGAGGAGAAGAAACTGTCAGTGATTGAAAGCAGTGTTGAACAGGTGAGTCTCGGATGGGTTTGTGGAGTGAGTTCCAGAGGGTGGGAGCAGCGATGGAGAACGCCCTGTCCCCCCAGGATTCGTGCTTGGGAAGTACTGAGCATATGACAGGATAAATGAGACTTATAACTGCAGGAGTTGTGAGAGTTTGTAAAAGGATGTTTTGATATAGTTCTGCTGTTGTTAAATCTGGACCCCTATGACTTCAATTCAACAAGAATTCTCTACATTTTTGGATTCTTCATCCACCAGGGAAGCATGCAAGCAAAAAAAGTCATCTTTACAAATCAAGCCCAACAAGGGACAAGTAACTGATATACAAATGTTCATTTGGGGGATGAGGTCTTCCTTTAATTTCAAATCAAAGTACATTATATACAAACATGGATATCAACTTTTGTAACAAGCACCTTATATTTACCTGAAATCCTGAGTGCAGAGCTAGACGTCCAGACACTGTTTATAAGTGTATAGGCCTATTGTCCGTGGGACAGATGGAAAGTTCAGTCAGCTCTACATTATAATGATCTTCTTCATACATTCTTCATTACCTCAAACTGTCACAGCCGTCGCGACAGCGTCGTTCTGGCATCTGAGTGTGCCTGCCACGCGTCAACATTGAAAACAGTTTATTTGAGAGCGCAAAAAATGCGTCATGTGCATGGCCCCTAACGCAGTATGAGGCTGTTTAGCAGAGACTGAAAGCAATGCTTGTGTCCAGGTTTTCATTGTGCCCTTATCATTTGAGATCAAGATCATATCTTGAATAATTATTGGAACTAAAAATAACAGTTTCATTTTGTTTCTTTTACAGAAATGAATGACATGCTGAGATCAAGTCCTCTTGTGTGTACACACACACAGACAGACAGACACACACACACATATATATAAGAAGAAGGAGTCAGACATAAATAGACACAGAAATAGACATACTTCGTAGAAACAGTTATGGGAGACAGACAGAGGCAGACAGTGGTAGACTATCAAAGGCCTCACCAGTCTGATCTCTAACATGGTTGAGATGGAGGGACAAGGACTCTGTTTGTTCTTTAATCTGCTTTCTCATACCAAGTTACTGCGGCTCCCGTGGGAAGCAGCCTCAGCCCGTTACAGCCCGACTGTGAGATCTAACACAAAACTCTATCACAGAGCTGCAAACACAGGGGTCAATATCAGCTTCAAGTTCCCATTTAAGGACCCTTTTCAAGTGCCACAACTTACTGGACATATTTTGGCTCCTTAGAAATTAAAAGACAGTGTTCAATTTCCTCTGAGATTATTTTTATTGAGAAAAAGACCCCACATTTTGACAAATAAACACAATCCTTTAAAAATTTTGAGACTGTAATCTCACTGTCATGTAGTAAAAAGTAAATCAGACAAACATGGTTGTGTTTCTGTACTCCCATACAAAATTCATATATTTGACAATAACAGAAGCGGAGTGATCTGCTTTAATAGGAGCTCTGTATTGTAACACCTGCAGCTACCAGCTAAAAGAATATTAAACAAAATGAGAGCAAAATCAATAATAAATCCTTTTAAAGTCAAGAGAACTCCATTATGAACTATCACCAATAAAAACAATAAGTAAAAGTGCGCTTGGTTGTATCTGCTTTGTTGAATTGTGCGTTTCTGTCTGATGAATCTCTTCCGCCCTCTAGTGGCAGTAAGTTGCTACTGAAGGTGCAGCAGTGGACATTACATGTGCTCTGGGTGGTTCTGCAGACAGGTGATGAACTCTTTCACCTCTTTGCCCTCGAAGCAGATCTGGTAGACGGAAGAAAACAATGGAAACCTGAAGAAGGAAGCAGACACTCAGGGTTAATTTTAAAGGATGTTTGGTAGAGGACACAGATAGAGGACACAAAGGTTTTTACATGCCAGCTTATCAAATGAGACTGACTAAACGATGTCCCCGGTGTTTCACATGTGGCTGATTAGATCTCTGCTCAAGGTGAAGATGGTTAAAGCAGTGCGCAATCACATAATGACATCAAACTCTACATAGCTGTAAGAACAAGTTTTTTTCACCCTTACAGATTCTGATTCTAACAAGCTTTACTGTCTTCTTGTCCTGGGCTTTATTGGGCTGTAGTTCAGCCCTAATTATAAAAACCCATGTAAGACACAGATGCAACAAACCCCACAAGGGAGTGAGTGATGGAAATGTCAGTCAAGCAGTCATCCCCACTCAGTCCTGAGAAGAATCAGGCACAGAACTGAAAACACCTGTGTGAACTGTCAGTGGGTGGGTGTTTCTAAAAGTCAAAGATCAAAGTCAAAGATCCAAGGATCCTGCAGAGGCACGGCAAGAGTCCTCCCTGGCATTCAGTGAACACACATTGGAACAGACTAACGAGTGTCCCCACGTGATCATCAGTAACCTTCAGCAGACTGAGGGGGTTTCAGGGTACTGTGATCATTTTGGCACTCTCTAATGTTGTTGTACAGTTATAAACAAATGAATCAGTATTGTCAGAATCACGTGACTTTTAGGGAGAATATATTTCTGGATCATACTTAAGAGTAAGTAAAAGTAAGTAAAGATAGCAGCTGAAAAAGTTAATCATTAAATCATAAAATTATCATTAACAGTATGGGATCCATATTTTATGTGTGTGTCACCCATAATTAGACACTACAGTCTCAAACTCACAGAATGTTTGATGTCAAAAGATGAAAACCTACACGTCCATATGCTTAAATAAACTATTTAAAACTGTCTAAAAATTCCTCATCCCATTCTCATGATTTAAAAAATATATATATAATTCTGTGTTCCCAGGGACAGAAGAAAAAACAAAGCAGTTAATTGATGTACAGATTAAAAATGAGTGTCTCTTCACTAAAAAGAGGAATGCTGCAAAGCAGGGATGGAGGTAAGATTGCCCAGATGAATTAATCTGTAAATGTGTAAACTGTGTCTAGAAAATATGAACAAGTTAATGACTTTGATTACACTGCACTGTATCTCTTATCTGACTTATCCAAGTTTATTTTTAATATAACTAATTTTAATTAATATTTAAATGATTTTTTTTATAGCCTGTTGCTCTATTTTGCTTTCACAATGCGTCTGTTGGTATCCATGGTTACATGTCCTTCCTTCTTCTGGTAGAGTGGCGAGGGCGTCCCATGGTTTGGTTTCTCTTTCATACACTTCCCCTTAATCAGGAGTGGCCTCCGCAGCTGCGAGTGTAACTTGATTTGGAGTGACACTCGGTAGTGAAGTGGTAGTGGGTAGGGAGTGGTTTGGGACTGGGCCACGGTGTGTACTGGTGTTTAGGTGGGTGGAGCATGTCAGGTGGAAACCACATGAATGTCAGAACCCACTGTTTCCAAACAGAACATTGCATTGGAACAAGATGATCAGTGTTGTTCAGGTCACCTGTCAGTAGTTTTAATGTTTTGGCTCATCTGTGTATGTACTTAGGTGTGTGTGTGTGTGTACTGTAGTATGCTGATTGTGGGATATGTATTTTATTGTGCTTTTACCAACACTGAATGTTTACATGTAAAAGCCCAACTAAGGACAAGAGCTGAAAATTAGCAATAGCTATAGACTCTCTGTGCAACACATCAGTCTCATACTCTCTATTGGAACTTTGTTATGTTGTATCGTCCCTATCAAATAAAATAAAAACAAAAGAAATGTGGGGGAGAGAGGGGGTATGACATGAAGCAAAGAGTCGTTGGTTGGAGTCAAAACTGGGAAAAATCAAGTATTCTTCATAACTCTAAAAAACAGTAGTAGCACAACCTGCTGTGTAGGCTACTGTTTACGAGCAACGAAGAAGAGTTGACAAATGGGAAAACTGAGTACTTGCCAATACCTGCTCCAGTATTTTAGGCAGTGTTAGAGGCATGTCCGGTACTGGTATCTATATCAGAACAACTCTAGAAGCTATTAAAAAAATACCCTGTGCGATTTCCTAGAGCCCAAGGTATCGTCTTCAAACTGAATGTTATCTGACCAACAATCCAAAATTCCAAAAATATTCAGATTATTATCATGTATGACAGTGAAAAAAAATCTAATTCTCACACTCAAGTTGCAGGAAACCAGCAAATATTTGGCTTTTTGACTTAGAAAAAATGACTACAATGATAATTCAGCGCTCAATAGTTGCCAGTTTGTTTTCTGTTGATCCACTAATTGATTTATGGTGCAATCAATGAAACTAATCCAATACACCTTTTGTCAAATTCAGAGAATATCTCCTTACAGTCCGCTAGTTGTCCATTAAGTATGTGCATTAAAAAAATTTAAATTCTAGTTCATGTATAACTCTGACTCTGTAAATGGGAACAAACCATATATTACTGTAACTTCTGAAGGAGCACTGACGGGAGCGGTGTTTTGGTGTGTGTTCAGTTAAAAAATGAATTCTCGGTAATCCCTGAATCCGCCTTTAATCTTTGCAGCTGTAGTCCAGTTTGACTCGTGTTTTTTTTTAAGGTAATGGGCCTTTATGTAACATTTGATACCCAAAAAGACCCAGTAATAGTTTATAGAAGCATGTGGACTCACATGTTGACCATGTCCCTCTTTTGTAGGAGCTTGTAGACCTCAGCTGAGGTCTGTGGACCCTGCAGCTTCTGCCCGTTGAGCATTTCTGCCTCCAGCTCAGCAATAGACTGCAGAAAAGAAATACAGAAACAGTTTTAATGTTGTTTTGTTGACATGTTCTAGATATCTTCTAAGGTGGTTTTTGAGCGATACGTCTTTCTCCAGAGCTCAGATTTAGCCCTTGAACATGTCTGTACAGTAAAAAGTAGACAACTACCATAATACTATCATCATCATATCATCTTGAAATGCATGGCCTCTACATCATATATTCAAAATAACTTATATATTTTTGCAACTATTTTAAAGGGACAGTTCACCCCAAAATCAAAAATGCATCACACATTGTTCATGTTTCTTGGTTATCTTTTAAAGGACATGAAACACATTTGTTGTGGATTGTTGGCAATGACATATGCTGTTTTAAATACGCAGTGATGCACCGGTTTAACAAGTACTGGTTTAGCAACTGACTAGTGATCCAAAGATCAAAGTAATGCCATGCACTCCTTAAAAAAGGTGACTTTGTCTTGTATTTTAAGATTAAAGCGGGCAGGTGTAGTTCAGTAGAAAGACAATAGTTCCTACATGAAACTGCTCACACAAAGGTCTGTGGATTATTTTGAGTAACTTCTGGAAAGAGACATTGATGTTGAGTTTTTCAAATGTATTCTTTGAGCACCACAAGCTAAGTGCCATCTAGTTCCATTATACTGGAGAGAAGGCAGATATCTCTACGGCTGATATCTCAGCAACTCACACCAAAACAATCTAGATTAATAAATAGCCCTACAGGTAATTATCCCTTTAAGTCTTCTAAATGCAAATCATGTGACAAATTGCTGTAACTGACAAGTTATCGTAACTATAGTTGTTAAGTAATTCTGCATTAGTCAAGTAGAAGTGGGTAGAGTTAACCCTAAGGCCACCAATGACATCCAAGTTACTGGGACTCATGATGTAATGGGACCTACCTTAGACGTTCTGACAAAGGCCTCGGCGACTTTGCGGTTTCGTCCCCCGTAGCAAGTGGTGATGAGATCAGCAACGCCACAGCTTTCCAGGAAGGTGTCGGAGCTCACTGGGCCTTTGCAGAACAACTTGGCGAAGGCAACCATTTCCATCAGACCCAGCCTGATCACCGCCGCCTTAGTGTTGTCGCCAAAACCGAGGCCGTCGCAGAAGCCAGCACCTACTGCCACGATATTCTGACAGGCAACATTTTACTCTTGATTAACACATTGAGGGAAGAGTTTAAATTTGGAACTTCTATTAAAGGAATATTTCACCCCCTAACCCCAAATTACACTGAATTCATGTAGAAAAGGTTTTTCTCCGATAAACAAGGACTCCAAAAATGGAGAAAATTCTTTGTTAATAAAGTCATAGGGGTCCATGTTTAACAACAGCAAAACTATATAAAAACATCTGTTTACAAACTCACACAGCTAAAATGATATGCCTCATAAAGTCTCATTTATCCAGTCATATGCTCAGTACTTCCCACATACATGCATTTTTTCTAAAACCTTACTATTACTCACTTAACTTTTTAAAACCAAAAAGAAAATAAAACTTACCCATGCTCTCTTCAAAGCCAGACTCCACTGACAAAAAGAGTAATTCTACCTCACTGAACACAGGAGCTGCAGGTCTACCACTGCCTCAAACAGTTACTTTGTTTGAGTTATTGTGCGACTTTGGTGTTTTCAAGGGTAAGTTTGGATTCACTAAAGTCACACAATAACACAAACAAACAAACTAATTGAGGCAGCAGTAGACCAGCAGCTCCTGTGTTCAGCAAGGTAAAATTACTCTTTTTTTTTAATGGAGTCTGGCTTTGAAGAGAGCATAGCTATGTTTCACTTTAGTTTGGTTTACCATCTGTTTGGGGTGTAAATGAGACTTGGATTACACCGCACGAGCTGCGTGAGAGTGTAAATGGATGTTTTCAGAAAGTTTAGGTGTTGTTAAACTTGGACCCCTATGACCTCAATTCATTAATAATTTTCTCCATTTTTGGATTCTTTGTTGACTGGGAAGACATGCGAGAAAAACAAAATTTTCTTTAAGAATTCCACGTAACATTAGGTGAGTAATTAATATACAAACAGTCATCTGGGGGGTGAAGTATTCCTTTAATGAGGAATAACACTTGATATTCACTACATGTGGTTGTTTTTACCTTTAGAGCTCCACACAGCTCCACTGTGTCACTCTCCTCTACGACAGTGATGCGGAAGTTGGGAGTCTGAAGCAGCTCTTTGAGGATTTGGCCATTTGCCTCATTTTTTGCCCCTGTATTTAAACCATTTTATGAAGAAGACACTTAATATTCGTAAAACAGGAAAGTACCACTGTGTTTCTGTCACTCTCTGACCACCACACAGTATCAGTTTCTCAATGTTAAATCATGTGCATGTGAGCCACGTTAGTAAAATTTGATGCAGCTGAATGAAGAACAGAAAACAGTGACTAACCGATGGTGGTTTCACAGAACTTCTCATCTGCCACCTCGCTGGCGATGTTGGCCCCCATCAGAACGCTGACCTCAATCTCTAGTTTCTCCCTGATTATGTCTGAGATGAGCTTCAGTCCATCTGGTCCCTCATCGATACCCTGAACAATGATAACCAATAAGACACAGATTCTGTACCCATAACCTCTTGCCTGGAGAGTGTGATGGCCATGAGGTAATAATAACAGACACTTCAGGTTTCATTGTGATAACTGGCTGTGTTGCTCAACTCCAACGTCCCGTGATGTCGTGGCCACCGGACAATATGAAGCAAAGTCAGGTGACAATAATCCCCTGCTTCCCCTTTTGGCTGTGATGAAATGTGACATGGAGAGCAATGACAGGATCTTACTTTGATGAGCGATATCCCAATGGTGCCCTCCGTGATGTGAGGTTTCATCTGATCACAGACGTTGCTGATGAACTGATGTGGGATTACAAAGACAAGGATCTTTGCTCCTTTGACAGCTTCTGTGATGTCGGGAATGGCGACCTGGTATGGCAAAGTTAGTCCTTTAACAGCATCACATCACAGAGTACCAACATGGCACAGGACATGTCTACAAACAGGGCTGCTTTTTGTCTTTACATTTATTATGTTTCAGATTAAACCATTCAGATGTACCATCTCAGCTCCCATATGATTTTTACTTTTTAATAATAACAAAAATACTACTATGACATGGAGCAAAGACAGAGCACAAACAGGTAATAAACCTCCATAACAATAACAAAAAAACTAATTGGACAAAGAAATATTATGTCAGTCAATACAATTAAAAGAAAAGTAAAATAAAGCAAAAAACTAAACTAGTCAGGCTACAGTGTCACCACTCGGAGCATTTGTGCAGAGTCAATTTATGTCCACTGAAAGTGTTTGTTTTTGCTACTGATAGGCTCAGATTATTAGTTTAAGTGTCTGACAACATTATGGAAGGGATCCCTACAGAGATACACCTTTTGTTGAAGTGTAAGATCATTTTTGTTTAACCAGAGACAGCCCTGAAATCATCATCATCAAACCCACCAGACTCCATTTAAATTAATAGTAATTTTAGCGTCTATAGAGACAGCATATTTTCACATCTAACTGGGTGAATGAAGAGTTTTTTTTTTTTCAACCAAACCAGAGTTGGTGATTGTTGGAACAGCAAAAGACAAACCAAAACGGCTTTTGTGAGTTCTATTTTGTTTCTGTTGACTTTGAATGAAGTGTGTTTTACTATGATAAAACTGCTCTTTTTTAAAATGGAGTCTGGTGGGTTTTGTAATAGTAATTTCAAGGCTGTTTCTGGTTAAGCAAAAAGAATCTCAAGATTTATCTTTGTAGGGATCCTTTCCATAATGTCTTCAGACACTTATGATATCAACCTGAGCCTGTCAGAGGCAAAAACAAACACTCTTAGTGGACATAAATTGACAATGAAAGATTGCCCAAAGTGGTTACATTGCAGCCTTTTTTGCAGCTGCCTGCTGCAGCAGTCTCACTCAATACTGGACCAGTTTCAAAAACTGTTTTCCAATCAGTCACTTAGACACAAAAACATGAAAAATAGGGTCCAGGTTGAAAAATACCAAAGTTATCCCTTAAAGTCACAGGTGGGAAATTACACAATAAACTAAAACCTAATTATAGTCCCATGGAAAATATCTCAATATGAAAAAAGAGGAGAAATAATGTAAATAAATCACTCTAAATTAACCAGTAACTATTATGAAAGACTATTTCTGTTCTGAGACAACGTGTCCGCTTTGACAGTATGTATTTCCTGCCACTGAATGCTTCTTTTGTTTTGCACTTAATCCTTATGTTGTTGAGGTGAGCTGACTCTTGCATGAATACAATTTATGTGAGCCTCAATGAGACTCCCAGAATTACATATCAAAGGTAGATGAACTTTGTATGGGTCAAGGTTAAGTTATCTTATCAGTGTAATGTCTTACTGTACAAGGAAAGTATGTTTCAAGATTACAGAGAATTGCATAACATGTTGAGACAGGATGGGCTTAGTGTGTCTAAAAAAACCCTACATTAGAGCACTTACCACATTCTTGGGGAGCTTGTGGCCTGGCAGATATTTGATATTTTGGTGCTCGGTATTAATGATCTCTGTGAGCTTCCTCCCATTGATCATTTCTTCATAAACCCACATATTCACCATTGGGTCGAACCGGTTGGACGCTCTGACATTGTGCCCGATGATTTTGGCAATGGAGGAGCCCCTGGAGGGAAGAAAGGACATGAGAAGACAGTCAGTGTTATGTTAAAATTCAACAGAACATTTCAGATGCAGACTCTAATGAGTCAGAGTGGATCGTGGTAAGCTAAAATAGATCTTAAGAGCTTGCACTGGTTTGAATTTTACTTTATAATCAGGTGAAATAAAGGTTTGATTTGCAGGGGAACAAAACGACCTCCCTATGGAGACATATGTACGCTGCAAAAAGACTCATGACGATGTAATGTTGGTGCATTGGGAGGCAAAACTTCCGTTGAGTATCCAAAGGGCGCTTTTACTCAAAGGAACAATCAGACTTCTATTTGCCTTTTTCTCTAAGCTACAGGATGTTCACGTTGCAGCTTATCGCCTTCAGGATGGTGTAGGATACAGAAGGGAGGAGGCGGGCTCGATCCACAGCCGTTGAACGGTTTACTTCCATTATTTATGTGGAATATAAAGGCGTAAATCTATTGCTGTCTCTTAGCTTTACAGATATAAATCTGCTGAATTACACATTCCGCATTCAGTTAAGCGAGTGTACTGCAACTATAGTCTAAAAACAGCGGTACTGTTTGTGATGCATGTAAAAGACGGATGCAAAGTTACCAGTTTCCAGATCCGACGATGCAGACTTTCTTTGCAGGCATTTTCAAAGTGGTAAAGCTCACTATCCGGCTGAACATAAAATCCTGTTGTTCTTTTTTCCCACGTCTATTATAACTTCCTCATACGCCCTATGAATTTCTCCCACTGCTCCACCCCTCCCCTCTGTCGCCACTCCTTTCTCTAAAGTGGAAATAACATGATAACGCGGTGCAACAAGTACCACAGCCATCTTAACACTGGCTTTTTCCATTTTCACACGTGTTAATACGGTTTTATACTTAACAGCTGGATTTATTTTGTAAAGCTGAATGGATGCAGTCAAGAGGAAGAAAGGGAAACATAATATACACTCCATTAACGTTTTAACGGTTATATATTATTAAGTACTGAGTGGAAATAAAGGAACCCGCCCAGCCTGGCTCTTCCTAGCCAACCGACGCCAACTCAGACAACATGACACTTCCGGTAAGGAGTAAACTGTATCCGCTCTTGTTCACTACATACTGCCTAAACAAATATACTCATAGAAATTAATAAATAACGCAAAATATATACCGGTACATAAATTATACAATTGTTAATAAATGTGCTTATTTATTTTTCTATTTTATTTATCATGTTTTATGATAAGTTTAAATAGTAAATATGCAATATATACATGTATATATATTTTTAAAAAATGATTGTGCTTGGTCAGTGACAGTTAAGAGTCAAGACTTTATTTTATTTTTATTTTTTGCATATATTTTTAATTTAGTCAGGATGATATGTCAACTCCTATTTATTACGCTCGACTCCAGCCTGTGGCCCCACGCTTGTCTGTCATTAAAGGCTAAAAAGCCCCAAAAATATCTTTATAAATATTGTAAGTATACATATTTTTTTAAAAGCGTGCTTTTATTATTTATCTATGTTTTTTATTTATCGTAAATATTGTCAGATTAATGATAAAAAAAAAAAACCTTTAAGTGCTATTACTTGTGTTTGCTCCATGAAAGTCATAGTCAAGACTATAATACTTATAAATACTTATGTCCAAAACATGCGAAAACTCCAAAAAAAGTTTAAAAAAGTTTTTTTTCCTTGGCTTATATTGTAAGTATAATAAAAATAAAAAAAAAAGAAAAACAAACATTTAACTTTTATTCTATGTTTTCAATTTTAATTATTGTCAGGAAGACAGGATTACACATAAATAGAATTACATTTAGGTGTGTCGTGTTTATTTATCAACTAAAACACTAGTAACTCATACGGTTACAATGAAAATTTCATTTAAAAAATTACTCAACTTCCGGTTCAGTTGTATTAAGCCTTCTCCTAAATGATTCCCCTTTTTTCTCTGTAATTTTATGTCTATACACTTTCTTTTTGTGAGTCGGAATTAGGGGGGAAATATTTTGTTTTCTATTGTAATTTGTATTATGAATGGATACACGGAAGCCTGCGCCTGTGAGCTCGTCACATGACTGGTTTCCTGTCAGAGCAGTAAATATCAGGCGAGCTAGCACCTACAGGCTAATAGGCTACTCCCTGTATCAGCAGAATAGACAATGTTTTACCAGTCGTTATTTAACTTAGCCGGTTGACAGTCCAGCGTGGGTTGGGTGTTTGCTGCGTATCGATAAGCGATGAACCGACAGTTTTATACAGTGTTATAAAGGAGACTCATCCATTAAATCAAATCTGTGGTGACTTAGCTCAGCTAGCTTCACAGGTTAGCCTAACGCTAGCAGGCTGAGTTAGCGTCTGAAGGAGGCTTCGTTGCCAGTGACTATGCAAGGGGAAACCACGGCGATACGGATCACGGAAAACGAAGGCAAGCTGGATGTATTGCCCCAGAACAGGACCCCAAGCTCGGGGAGAGCAAGTGCCAAAAGCTGGCAGTACAGGTGGGTGGCTGTTTACTCGGCTAACGCTCATACATTTAAGCTAATTTAAGTTACTAATTTAAGGCGTAGTTTGTTTCCACAGCTAATGAGCATATTTGTGGCATAACTCTGCTAAATAGGATTTTATCATGTGTTTGGGCTGCCCAATAATTAACCAATTTGCTCTTACGTGTATGATCAAATCTGTTGTCTACTCAGACAGGTAAAAGCGACATCATATTTCCCTTTGGGCAAATCTGTTATTAGGCAATGCTCTATGATTAATCTGTGCGTTCACCTTTGGGTGTTCATGGGTGTGTACTCAGTCAAAGTCTGTTATCAAGTGTTCTTTGTCTCTGTTTGCTTGATCAACTCTCGTTCCAGTGACCACATGGAGAATATTGATGGCTACTTGATGAAATACACCAACCTTGTAACAGGGTGGCAGTACAGGTGAGTGTCATACCTGTGATTATTATAACCTTTAATGTATGCTGTCCCAATCGAGGTTAAGAACAAGGAACTCACTAACTATGAGAAATCACCAGCCACTTTGAGCCAAGTTCATTATTGTAATCCAGTCTAATCCAATCTGAGTAATGCCATGCTGGTTTGTACAGGAGGCTGACATTGTCATGGTGGCTGTTGTTTTCAGGTTCTTTGTCTTAAACAATGAGGCGGGCTTGTTGGAGTACTTTGTCAATGAGCAGTCGCGGCCCCAGAAGCCCCGTGGCATGCTTCCCCTGGCAGGGGCTGTCATCTCCCCCAGTGACGAGGACTCGCATACCTTCACTGTCAATGCCATCAGCGGGGAGCAGTACAAGCTTAGGGGTGGGTACCGAAACGCACACACTTACTTCTTGACATGTCTAGCTTGTGTGTCAGCCCTTTACAGTTCAGTTGTGCGTTCCTCTCTGAGCTGTTCACCTTGTCTTTATCAGCTCCATTTATACTTCTAGGCATACAGTCATCACCATCCATCAGGTTCATACAATATTGATCTGGATGTTTTCCATTATGTGCTGCTGGTGAAGCAGAAGCACACAGGAATCGATGCTGAGTAAGATCATCGTAGAGTAACTGGTCTTGTTTTTCTTCTGTGTGCCTCTCAGCCACCGATGCCAAAGAGAGGCAGCACTGGGTGAGCCGACTGCAGATCTGCACACAGCACCACACAGAGGCCATGGGGAAGGTAAGATGGTGTGCTTGATATCAGACGTATAGAGCCTACATACAAATATGCCATGATTACATATACATATTTGGGGAAAATCAATTATGTACGGTATTTAGACGATTGGTACATGTCCACATGGCACATGTCGCCATGTTGGTCCACTTTGAAGTCCAGAAGCAGACACCCCATGCGACTAGTGGAGTGCCTGTCAATACACTCGATGTATCATGGTTGGTTCAGCGTGGGATGTATAAAATGACTATCGCGAATGTTGAGTACAAACCATCTTTTTTTTTTCTTTTTTTATCCACTGGCATGAGACTTGCTTTGGCGTTTTGTCTCTCTCCCTCTCACGAACTCGCAGAAACACACTCCCCTCCCACCCAGACCACACTGTCGTGGGCGACAGTGTGTGGGAACAGGCAAGGGGTGTGTTTTTGTGCCTGCAAGGCTCCAGACCACGACCATTTAGATGTATACTGCAACCATGGAGTAACCATATGACTTGCAGATATTATTAATATATGAACTGAAGAGCTGTCGGTTTGTTTCCCACTCACAGTGAATAAATCCTCATGATTAATGGTGCCGCTGTAATGGTTTAACTTTCTGCTAACAGGTTACATTGAACGGAATCTTCAAGTTCACAAAAACACCAACACTTCAAGAGGAGCTGTGTGCTTCAAAATAAAAGCACCAGTGGCTTTGATTTATTTCATTGTAGCAGTACTTAATTTAACTTTGCTATAACAGCTCTTTGTTTAACTTTATTATAACAGTACTTTATTAACTTTTATATAACTGTATTTACTTTATTTTAACAGTATTTTATTTAGTGTTGTTTTTTACTGTAGTAATAATAATAATAACAACAAACTTTATTCATATAGCACCCTTCAAAACACATTTACAAAGTGCTTTACAAATCAGAATAAAAGACAAAGCAAATAAAACAAGATAAAAGCAATAAAAACAGAATGCACATCATAGAGTATATCACAGCGATTTAAAAGTTTGCAGCCCTGATCTCGTCATGCAGGTCATTCCATAGTCATGGAGCTCTGACTGCAAAGGCTCTGTCACCTTTGTGAATTAATCTAGACCTCGGAACAACAAGCAAAGATACATCTGAGGAACTCAAGGTGCGAGAGGGAACATAGGGCAATAAAACATCTGTTATATAACTTGGAGCAAGACCTCTCAGGGCTTTGTAAATAATCAATAACCTCTGAAAATCAATTCTAAAAGCAACATGTAACTAGTGTAGGGAAGCCAGTATTTGCTTGATGTGGTCTTGTTTTCTAGTCTGAGTTAAGATTCTGGTAGCAGAGTTAGATGAGCTGGAGGCGCGGCAGGGATTTTTTACTGATTCCAGGGAGCAAGGAATTGCAATAATCTAAATGACTAGTTACAAATGCATGAATAACAGTTTCCAGATGTTTGTTGGAAAGGAATGATCTGATCCTGGAGATATTTCTGAGATGGTGGAAGCTGGAGTGAACAACTGAATTTACATATTTGTTTAAACTGAGGGTTTGATAAAAAATGACCGAAATTTCTGCAGTGTGGAGTTATTGAGTCGGACAGACATTCTACTGTAAAGCATAAAATGAACGAAGCAGCAGGAGCCCTTGCGTCCAAAAACGGCCCTGTGTAAACATATCATGAATGTCAGTCAATGCAAACATTTCGGTCATCAGTGTGTAATATCCCTTAAAGGTCTGCTGCACCATAGAGCTTACTTTTTAATCAAACATAAAATGTGAATCTGTGTATTTGAGCCAGACTGTCTCTAGTTTCCTGTTTTTCTTCCTCATATGCCAAAGAGGCAGTGGAGCAAAGCCTGTAGCAGTGGAAAAATCTGGAAAGCTGTAAAATATTAATGTTTATATAAACATGTAACCTGTATCAGGTTTCACCCTGTGTCTAAGCACAGTAATCACTGGTATTGATCTGGATATTGATCCACAGATTACTATGTTGCTCACATTCTATTTTAGTCTTGAGATACACCAAAACAAAAAACACAGAACTCCCTGAGGCCCTGAAGATTTTTTGGGGGCTTTTTAGCCTTTAATGTACATATAAGCGTGAAGGGGGGAGAGAGAGAGGGAGTAACATGCAGCAAAGGGCCACAGGCCAGAGTTGAACCCAGGCCGCTGCGGCAACAGCCTTGTACATGGGGCGCCTGCTCTACTACTAAGCCACCGGCGCCCCGAGGCTCTCTTTTTAGCAGTGCTTGGAAATAGTCGGGAGCTCTATATAAAAGTTTGGAATTTCATTTAAAATTGACAAGATGAACATTTTGCATTGCACAGAGTAACCCCCCACCCAAGTCCCGGAGCTACTCCATGGCGTCTCAAGGCAGCGGCAGCTCACCCATGTCCCTGCGCCGGCCCAGCCAAAACCCTGCCTCCTTATTCAGCTGGTCGCAGGTCAACAAGGGCTCGTCACTCTACTCCAGCAAGAGGTCCCTGCTGCCAGACCACCTGATGGATGCCAGAGAGGTACAGCAAGACAACATGGCATCACACCTCCTGTAATAGACACAAGCAGAAGTCACATAAAAGGCCATTATGCCAAGAAATGTGGGTTACGAGTAAAATTGATAAAAACATGCATCTGATCCAATCAAAATGCTGTTAGATTTGGGAAGCTTTCTGGCCCCTTTAGCTCTGGCTAGTTGACATTAATGCATTACTTTCTGCACACTTGGTTGGGAAAGTCGCCACAGGCACCAGACATGACAACTTGGTACACTGTGAAGTACAGACAACTTTCCCTGGTGGCGATAGGCTTAATCAGCCTTGTATGAATTTGTTTGACGAGGGCTTGAATGCAGGGTTCATTTATATGTAAAAGCCCTGCGCTCCCACTGTAAGACTCACCTATCAGTAAGATTTGAGCTGTGAAGTCTCATCTTCACTTTGACCCATTGGTGTGATTCAGATTGATCACAAGATGGTGCTGTTGTCTTTCCCTTAAGATCACTAGACTACAGCAGCAGCACAGTTTGGATCAACCATGCATTTTGTTGTCTTTGGATTTTTGGTCTTCTCTGTTCCCTTAAAACAATGTTTATGTCTCATGTACTAATCAGAACATGCAGTTAGTAAAAGAGATATGATTTTCAACTTTTGAGCCATGAATAAAGATCCCTATCTTTCTCAAAATTTGGGTTGGGCTAGTTGAAAAGCTAATGTAAAGGGTTGTATAGGCCTGCAGCTAACAATTATTTTCATTGTTTATTAATCTGTCGATTATTTTTTTGATTCATAGATTAGTTGTTTGAAAAAAAAAATGGTAAAAAAAAATGTCTATCAGTGTTTCCCAAAGCTCAAGATGTTGTCCTCAAATGTCTTGCTTTTCCCGCAACACAAAGACATTCAGTTTACTGTCACAGAGGAGTAAAGAAACCAGAAAATATTCACATTTAAGAAGCTGAAATGAGAGTCTTTTGACTTTTTTCTTAAACAATTACTTAATCCTATTAATTATCAAATTGGTTGGCTATTAATTTAGTAGTTGACAATTAATTGATCACATTTTTTGTTTTGTTTTTATACGATGGATAAAGTAGAGCAGTATTGTAAGGCATGTTTTTATTGTTGTCGTTATTGTCTCAAAAAATGGATGTTGTGCATAGAAAAAAAAGAAAGCCTTGATAAAAAAAATCAATTAATTTAAACAAAATAAACAACAGTACCTGCACGGATAATGTTCATAACGGACAGAATTTTCGCCCCAAATAACCAAACAATCCTCATGATCCCCCTCCAGATGATGACCCAGGCCCAGGGCCAACACAGAGACCTGATCCAGAGCATCGAGGGCCTACCTGCAGCCCCCGGCCTCTCCCCTCTGGACCAGGATCTGCTGATGCTTAAGGCCACGTCCATGGCCACCATGAACTGCCTCAACGAGTGCCTGCACATCCTGCACCTGCAGCAGGTGGCCAGGCAGAGAGGTTCCCTGGGAGGTCAGTATTGTCTCTGAATATGGTGATGGTTGTTTCCTGCCTTCTCTAGGTTTGTTATGCCTCTGCGATGGCGATAGTTGTGGCTGGAGGAATTAGGTTTTGTGGTTGTTTATCTGCCTGTCTGTCTGTCCATCCGTTCGTGGCATTCTCATGAACGCAATATCTTAAGAACACCTCGGGTAATTTCTGGAGATTTGGCACAAACGTCCCCTTGGACTCAACAATTAACTGATTAGAATTTGGTGCTCAAAGGTCAAGGTGTCTTTGGCACAAACGTTCCTTTGGACTCAAGAATGAACTGATTAGATTTGGTAGTCAAAGGTCAAGTTCACTGTGACCTTGCATCCATCTCTTTCTCGTGAAGCTGATATCTCCAAAATACCTAGAGGAAATTTCTTCAAATTTGGTACAAACGTTCCCTTGGTCTTAACAATGAACTGATTAGATTTTGGTTCTGCAGGGTCAAGATTACTATAACCTTTTTTGTCTTACTCTTGTGAATGCTATATCTTAAGAACACCTTGAGGGAATATCTTCAAGTTTGGCACAAATGTTCCTTTGGACTTAAGAGTGAACTGATGAGATTTGGTAGTCAAAGGTCAAGATCACTGTGACCTTGCGTCCATCTCTTTCTCGTGAACCCGATATCTCAAGAATACCTTGAGGGAATTTCTTCAAATTTGGCACAAATGTCCATTTAAGAACTGATCAGAATTTGGTAGTCAAACGTCAAGCTCGCTGTGACCTTGCATCAGTCTCATTCTTGGGAATGTAATATTTCAAGAATGCCTTGAGGGAATACCTTCAAATTTGGCACAAACATCAGTCTGGTCTCAAATTGGAATTGATTAGATTTTGGTGGTCAAGGTCAATTCGTACTTGTGAGTTCATTTAACAGGGAGAAAAAGTTAAGTGTATGCTATGCTTTGCTTTTCAGAAGTGACTGTTTCTGCTATCAGGCTCAGCAGTGTCCTTTATGCAGCACTTAGACAAATTGTAGTCTTGTGCATGCAGGCCTGCACCCAATCTAACAGTTTGCTTTGGTTGGACAGTGGAATTATTTTGCATTATTGATAGGGAACCGTACCTATTCTTACCACCTGTCTCGAAGGTAATGAGATCTCAGATGGTTAAATATCCATCTGCAATGCTTTGAGGACTGAATTCACTTCTGAAACGGCTTCATATTAAAAAACACATGTCCCAGATTTAGAGAGAATCCAAAGTGAAGTGTCTAACTTGCTGATATGTCGACACTTTCTATTCAGGATGGTTTGAAAAGGAGAAAACGAGCAGCTAATGCCCCACTTTTTCACAGCAGATCTCATTACTCAATGTATATTTCATTAGGCCAGAGCAGCCAATCAGATTAAGTTGTCCCACAACGCACAAGGTGAATTTGAATGAGATCTGCCCACCTCTAAACATGCATAAAAAATGCCCACACCATCACAGGAGGGTTCAGCCAATCAAGGGATGAGGATGTTTCCTGTCGGCGGGGCCAAAGTATCCTGATACCTGGCTCGTCGGGGGTTGGGTTACACTCTTGGTCTAAAGCAGCCGTCTAAGGAATCGCCATCTGTCCAGTTAGCAGCCAGGCGGTTGTGTGGTGAATGCTAGGTTGAGTGTAGAGCTACGCCTTGTGTGTGTGCAGCTGTGAGCGTCAGGGGGACTCGGGAGGGAGGGGGGGATTGTACCATGAGTACCTCTGAACCTGCCGCTGTGCATTCCCCATCCACGGCAGGACCCACCATCGAGTGGCTGGAGCCCAAGCTGCCCGACATCCTGAAGAATGGCAGCAGCTCCCTGGGCAGCTTCACAACAGGGGAGGGCCTGCTGGAGGGGAGCCGTCTGGAGCTCAGCAGCCCCGAGTCCTGCAGCTTCTCTGGGGTAAGACCAAGGACATGATTCCAACTCTCCCCCAGGAAGTAGCTAAGTGGAAAGTTCAGGAAGTTGATTTGACTTAATTTTTGTTGTAAAGTTGAGCAGCTATGCCGTCTCCCACAACATAAACACAACAAAAAAACTTACTGTCAACCTCTGCAGAGTCACTTAAGCAGGCTGTTAAATAAATCACACTCCCCTCCCTTCCCTCCCTCCTAGGAACAGGAAGACATTGATGCAGAGGATGAGGCAGAGGACTCCTTTACCGACAAGGAGGAGGACCTGGGTGCTGTTGAGGAGGAGCGCAGCGTCATCCTACACCTGCTGTCCCAACTAAAGCTGGGCATGGACCTCACACGGGTAGGTCGAGTTCCATGTACCACCAAGCAACAAAACAACCCACCTCCGCCACCAGCTCTCCCCACACTCTGTGTTTCTATGTGTATGCTTCAGTTTTCAGTATTATTACCTGAACGTTATGAGAGGATCACGTTGGTAACATCCGCTCAAAAGTCCCGCAGCGAGAGGTATTTCCAGATGTTGGTGCTTAGATTAGCTATTTAGAGCATAAAGTACTGCACTAAATGCTATGATCTGTAACCCTGAGGCATAAAATTGTTATTCACATTCACTGCTCACAGGACTTGTGTCATTTCAAGCACTCTGTGAAACACTAAATCCTGATTTATAGCAGGGCGCTCGACAGAAATGGTATATTAATGACAGAAAAAAGTCATTTTACATTGCCTTTCATGTTGCTCACATGGCGAGTTGTGTTATGTTGCAGATGCATCTCCCTGGAGACATTTCAACGGTTTTGTCTGTAATGGTAACTTCAGATTAGGGATGCACCAATTGGTGAGCCAAACATTGGTATCGGCTGATATTCACCTTGTTGACTGTCTATGAGCAAATACGATAATATTCACAGATCGCGGTGGCTGATGTTTTTCTGTTGTGTTGCATCAATTTTGCACAGGCTAAAAAGCAGGGCTCAAGGCTTACGGTGTCCCGTCGTTCTTGTTAGAACAGAAAATGTGTTTGGTATGAACAGCAATCTTCCCCGGGATGCTGTTTGGACAAAATGACGCAGTAAATTCACTATTGTGGTGGCAAAACAACTATTTAATGAACAGTTTAAAGGAAAAAGTCTTCACATGTCAGCTGTCTTTCTTGAGTTTTAATAAGCATTCATGAATGGAGACACTCAAACATACAACCGCATGAACAGTCAGTCAGTGAATGCCTAGCAAGTCTTCTCGCCCTGCTATCTTTATAGTTCCCATAACACATGCACATCAACAGTCAAAATATGTGGCGCCTTGACATTCCTAAAACACATCATCTCTTGAGACTAACAAGAGATGTGTCCTCCCTGGCTCATAATCTTGGTGTCTGAGCCTCCCTGGTTCGTGACCTTGGTGTCTCTCACTGCTGTCACAGTAGGGGTTAAATGAGCACCACACATCATACATCATAGCAATACCAAATACCAGAATTTTCCATCACATTCCACCCTTTTTAGCATTCTCATGCTAAACCGGAAGCATGGAAAATTATCTTACTACCTTATTTCCTACGAGTTCCACCCGTACCAGCCAAACGCCAGTATCACCAGCCTCCAACATGGGAGATGAACATGGCAGAAGTCACAGGCCACAAGCACAGGCAAGCCAAACATTCTCCTCCCTATATGGCAAAGGAGAGGGTAAAAGACTTGTCTGTCTAACTACACTACCTGATAAGGGAAAAAAACCTCTATATGATGAGGACAAAAAACAAACAAACTCTAAGCTAAAGCAAGATAAGCATAAATGAAAACATGTCATCTTTAGGGGATGCATCCTGTTGTTTACCTGATATTGCTACTTTGTGAACAGCAAATCTGTGTTGAAGTTAGCTTTAGCTGATAGCAGACGATGGCCTGAGCTAACAGCTGATGGAGGTTAGTTTTTATATTTGCATGATTGTGCTCATTCAAAGCTGAATGACTTTGAAATAGATATTTTTTTAGTGAAGATTTTTTTGTTTCCCTGGCGGTATGAGTATTGACTATTGGCTAAATTGTTATTTTAAACATAGTTTTCAGCCCAGAATTTCACAATTGGTGCATCCATAGTTAATAGTTAATAGCTAGAGACATATTCCAACATAAAACTTGCTTCGTCATGGGGCTACATGTATACTACTTACCGTTGTACCAACCTGCAATGCTTGAATAGGAAAAAGATGAAGATTTGTCCAAAAATCTTAAATTTGGTTAAAAGCATTAGATTTAAGTGTCAGATATCTGCAGACACCCTGAAGATGTTGGGTAGAATTATCACAACATTTTTCAGGAAAACACCAAAACACAGACCTAAAACAAGTGCAAAGATGGAAAAGTGCGAACAATGAATGAGCAGTGATGTCACACATGTAAAAGTGTGCCCTGTTTTTTGAAAAGGGTCTAAAAATGAATGCATATCTGTATCTGTAAAGCCAGCTCCATTTCCCATACTGTTACTTACCATGTTGAAGACTTGTCTTTAAAGGATAACTTCGGAACTTTCCAACCTGGACCCTATTTCCCAGTGTAAATTGGTCAGAGAGACTTATGTGAACAACAATTTTTTAAATTGTTGCCAGTGGGATGGTCTGTAATGGACAGCAATGGAAGCACATGGGGCAATTAAATACTGTCATTGTATGTCCATTAAAAGTGGTTATTTCACCACAGATAGGCTCAGATTATTAGAAGTGGCTGAAGTGTTTCACTTGATTTGGTCTGTTTGCTATTGCAACAATAGAAACATGAGTAAGATTTGGAGAGAGTATAATAACTGGAGTATTTTATAGAAAAATGTAATTTTAGTGTTGTCTAAAAGATTTTTAACACCATGGATGATTATTCACCTGATTTTGACTATGTGGCTGACAAGTGTCAGCTGGTGAAAATGGGTAGTGCTTAATCAGATGATATTTTTCACCTCCTAATCATTTATTGATTGATTGTTTTTGCTGTTATCCTGTATGCTTTTATGGGTATTGTTATGCAGTGTCAACATAATAACTTTAGCTAATAGCATTTGCCTACCTCCACTTGTCTGCAGCAGGTAAATCCACTCTTGGAACTCTTTTGTTAGGAAAATAAGCTCTAGATTTCTTCTCTTCTTTGACACATAATAGCGATCGTGGTCAAAATCACATGCACAGTGTAGGACAGCAGTGTTAGGATCCATTTGTAGCACAACTAGCCAAAACTGAAATGCATCCATATCTGAAAATTATATCTATGACAGCTACTCGAAATGTAGCTCCTCATTTTGTCGGCACAGTTTAGAAATGTGCAAACACAAACCACTATTTATAACAAAGGCAGTTTTCCACCAGCAGTCTCACAGCTTCATGGCTCACCCTCCGCTGCCTGTTTTCTCTCTGTTTCTCCTCGTCTGCTCTTCATTCGTATACTCCGCTCACATAAATATGGGTGACAGTCAAATTCAAAAGCCTCATCCACATCATTAAAATCAGCTAAATAATCATCCACGACACTGAAAATCCTCTATGCCGAGTTCACACTACACAACATTTTTATCTGTTCCAACAGTCACTATGTCAGATTAGGTGATAGTGGAGTCATAAAATCGTGCCATGACTTGGCCGACGGACATGACAGACTACACGATGGTCTACGACCAATCATTCCTGGTCATCTTTCACAACATGTGTGATGTCATTGGGTTATTCTTGTCCTATTTTAATTATTTTAAATAATATTTCAGTCACTGTCTGTTCATGTTCCAGCTGAAATGTTGTTGTAGTAACGTAAAAAGTGCCACCAGATGACAGGAGCTACATTTGAAGTACGGCGTGCATAGTATGCAAGTCACTGAATTCTCCACAACAAGTTCCTGCAAATGTTTCACAATAAAAGCCTGTTTAGAAAATTAAGAGATTCTCTCAAACGTAATTATACGGGGCTTTTAATTTTAATTGAATACAGGAAGTGTTGAGTTTGAAGTGAGCTTGATGCTAATGGCAGCATTGGGTGGGTTGCTAAAGTGCCCAGCTGTTTCACACCATCATTTTTCCCTTTTTACTCTGTGTGGTAACATCCGAAGAGGAAATATCAAAAAGGCTGGGGTGTTGTTGCTGTACAGTTGTCTACGGCAGCAGATCACTCTATGTTTCCATTGGTCAAAGTGACGGCTGTGACGGGAGAAGTCGTGAACGACAATCAAAGTTGTGAAAGAAAATCAAACATGCTAGACTCTCTGTCGGGATGTCGTGAGTCTTCCCAGACATGGCGTCAGTTGTCGTCTAATGTGACACACTGCGCTAGATAAAACGATAGCTTTTCGCGTAGGACACTCGTTGTTCACGATCCAAGCCGACACCGTAAGGCGCTGCATCGGGCTATAATTGGGCTGATATTGTTTAGTGTGTACCTGGCATTAGATGCACTAAACTATGTTTACTGTAAACTACTCTAATTACTACACTCTCTTCAGGTCTCTCACACGTTTCCACTGTTGTTTTCCTACACCAAGTGACATCTCGTGATAGTTCAGTAGGAGACTTTTGCTTAACCAGGCAATAACAGACCAGATTAAGTGAAAGGTAAAGAGACACAGCCACTTAAAAGAACAATCTGAGCTGTTCTGTGGTGAAAATAACCACTTTTAACAGATATACAGTGATGGTGTTCAACTGCCCTATGTGCTACCATTGCAGCCTCTCCCATGGCTGCTGGCTGCTGCCCAGTTGCTCAATACTGGACCAATTTCAAAACTCATTGTTCACATCAGTCTCTTTCAGCCTCTCCCAATTTACACAGGGAAATAGGGTCCAGGTTGGAAAATGCCGAAGTTATCCTTTAACTGTAGAGTGGTATGGTGTAATTGACAGCCACTATATTGACTTTCAACCAAAGTCAGTCTTAAGTCTTGGAACAAGTTTATAGTGACACTGAATAAGTGAACCAGGTTGTTAGTTTTGTTTTTCAGAAGTCTGATTTGCAATGACCTTACAGGTTAAAGTAAGCACTTCTTGCCTTGTAATTACTACTCCTGGACACACACTTAATAACACAGAGAGTTGAATCCTAGATGGACATTCTATCTTCCAGTGTCCAGTTTGTTCTAGTATTTGGATAGCCTCCTCTTGGGTTTCTGATTTATCGCGGTTATCCGGTGGATCCATAGGCTTACCTCAGATGGAGATCCAGTAGACGCTGTGACTCCAGGGTCACGTCCAGTGTTCGTCACACTGTCACTTGCTCCATTTACTGATGCTTAATAATGTGATGATGTTTTAGAAAGTCATCCTGTGTTGTTCCGATTAAAAAATAGATCAATTGTGACCATATGTACTTGGATTTTCTTCCCAGGTTGTTCTCCCCACCTTTATCCTAGAGAAACGTTCTCTGCTGGAGATGTATGCCGACTTCATGTCACACCCGGACCTCTTTGTGACCATCACCGACGGCAGCAGCCCGGAGGACCGCATGGTCCGGTTTGTGGAGTACTACCTCACCTCCTTCCACGAGGGCCGCAAGGGCGCCATCGCCAAGAAGCCCTACAACCCCATCATCGGTGAGACCTTCCACTGCTCCTGGAAAGTACCCAGGAAAGCAGAGGAGCCCTCACAGGGAAGCGCCGAGCCGGCCACCTCCCAGGACCCCTACCAAGTGCGCTTTGTGGCGGAGCAGGTGTCCCACCACCCTCCCGTGTCTGGCTTCTATGCTGAATGCCAGGAAAGGCGGATGTGTGTGAACACACATGTGTGGACCAAGAGCAAGTTCATGGGAATGTCCATTGGTGTATCCATGATAGGGGAAGGTAAGCTAGCATGGGTTTTGTACTGGTGTGTTGTGTAATCATGAATCTCAAGAAGTACATTTGATACTGATGGACTAAGAGTCTCATCCTACTCTCTAATGTGCTATGTGTGAGCTCAGTCCTGCGTGTTCTTTAATGAAGCAATAGGAGAAGATATTCGGTCTCAGTTAATGTAGTTTATTAAGCAGTAAAGGAATAAAATTACAGAGCTCTGGGTCTCAACTTCACGTCCCTGACGAACAACAAAGGTGTGTCAGTTCATGAAGTCTGACCTCCTGTCCTTTCCCTGACCCAGTATATTTGAGCGTAACAGAGTGTCATTGTGCACGCAAGGCGTTGTCCTCTTCTCATTGGCAGTTCCACTTCCTCCTTCACCACACCACGCCCCTGCCTTGTGTTAATCTGACTCCTTCCCGCTGGCGGTGGGGGCGTGGTTCCTGTTTTGAAAGACAAGAGAACAACACAACTCCCTACACGTGCTGTACCTTACTATCTGTATATCACTTTCTATTCTTTTTACCATATATGAAATTAATTATCTAAGCATTGCGGTATGTGCTCCTCAGACTTCATGTCTCTTCCTCTTCTCCACTTCTGCAAAGCAAACACATTCAGATCAGCTGAAATCATCTCAGTATTCTCATTGTTCACACATCTAAAACTTATATAGTGAAACACAACTTATAGTAAAACACATAACATCATTCTATTCCCAACAATACATCAAAAACAAAAGTGTAAGGTGTCCTCCACTCCTCTCAGCTCCGTCCCAGTTAAAGGTGCATCATATGTATCCTTGAGAAGTTGTGTACACAGTGTATTTGGTGTTCAAGTGGTTACATGTGAGAACACTGCTGCTAGGAAACGGCAACATTTTAGTAGTGGTGAAGGAAATATTCAGATACTTTACTCAGAGGAAGGTACTAATGCCACTTTGTGAAAATACTCTGTTCCAAGTAAAAGTCCTACATTGAAAATGTTACTTTAGTAAAATATCATAAGAATAATCAGGAAAAATGTACTTAAAATATTAAAACTAAATCCAAATAGGCATACTATGTGTAGTTTTTTTACCTAGTACACTTATTTATTGTCTGTTATTTTTTAGTGTGAGGATTGGATGGTTGAATAGATGGAGGATGTGGTTTTAATTATCAGCACCTTACAGGAGTAGCACTCCCAATTTCATTGTGTTTTTAATGATACAATGACAATAAAAGGCATTCTGATTTTAAAAGTATCCAATGCAGAAAAAAAAAACTCATTAGAAGAAACTCGGAAGATATTAGAAATGAATATATTAGAATTATTAGAAATAAATATTAGAAATAAAAAAGAAAATTACATATATTTATCAAAATAGTTGCCAGTTTGCTTTCTGTCAGTCGACTAATCATTTCAGCTATAATTGTATAAACTGTTGGGTAGTTTAATTTATTGAAAAATATATATATATTATTCTTATGTTTTTAATACAAAAATCTTTGTAAAGTAGCTTAATGTAGTGAAGTGTAAAGGACAATATTACGCTCTAAAATGTAGTAGAGTAGAAGTATAAAGTGTCATGAAAAGACCAGATTTAAAGGGAAATTTCGGTTTATTTCAACCTGTCTCCTATCGTCCTAAATTTGTTTCAAGTGACTAGTGACATAAAAATAATAGTTAGCATGTTAGACGTTAGCCTAGATACAGCCGGGGCGCATAGTAGTGTCAGACCTGTTAAAACATAAGTGAAAGGGCATACTTCCAAGTGCAAAGTTAGTCCACTAAACAAGCTGTTTTTTCCACAAAGACCGCCTCATATCGTTAGGATAAATGTTAGAGAACATATAGAAAACGACATGTAAATGTGTTGTCTTACCTTACCGGTGTGGTGTCATGTTTGTTTACCATTTAGCTCTGCTTTCCAAAGCACGGCCGAAATATCGCGAGAACAAGTAGCGATCTCATATCGTGCCTGAAATCTCGCGAGAACAAGCAGCAACAGCTGGAAGGCAGAACCGGACAGTAGCATGAAAATCTTCTGCTTGTCGTCTTCACTTATCTGGCAAGCAAGTTTTTCATCCTCCACAGTCGTTCCTCCTCCACAAAGTCGAGGGCTGACTTTTTGCCAGACTTCGACTTTGTGGAGGAGGAATTTGATTTTGCAGAGTTTGATGGCCGCCCTTATTTATTTGAGCCAGAATACACTGAGGAAGAGCTTCGTGAAATTGAAGAACGGAGGAGGAGAGAGAGAGAGGCGCAACAGGTAGAGGACGAGAGAGGAGGAATGGCTGCTGCAAGGCTGCGTAGCTCTGGAGATTGGTGGTGTACCTGTGAATGCTGTGCCCCAGTGCCCACAGAAGAGGAATGCCTCTGTTGCAAGGAATGGGACCGGTTGCAGCCTTATTTTCAAGGTCTGGATGTGACCGAGGACGAGACACCTCCACCTGGGGTAGTATCCAGCTGGGCTTTATCTAGAGCTCGCAAGATTTCAGGCGCGGTATGAGATCACTGCTTGTTCTCGCGATATTTCGGCCGCGCTTTGGAAAGCAGAGCTAAATGGTAAACAAACATGGCAGCACACCGGTAAGGTAAGACAACACGTTTACATGTCTAAATGTAATTAGTTATAATCCACTACTGCATTTTAGCAAGCTACCAAACAGGCAATGTAACGCAGAAAGACAGAATAAAGCAATGAGGCTGTTAGGGATATCAACATTTTCCTCAGATGTAAAATTAGGAAGAAAATTGAGTAGAATAACATATTAACCAACCATCCCTGAAAAATGATCTTCCATGGCCTTGGCCATTTGTGAAAGCATCAATAAACATGTCACAACTCATGAAGTCAAAGCTTTCAGAAAATTTCAAGGTTGTGAATACAATACATACGAAGGGGGTGTTCACGGGCTCCTCTTAGGAACACAGCAAACACGACCCCATTTAAAGGCAGCATAGCTTACAGGTTTAAGGAATATCCGTGTCTATAAAATGTTTATCAAAGATTTTAAATCACACATTGTTCACGTTAGGGCGAGGTATCATTTAGAAAGTTACGGTAACTGTACCAATATCCATGAAGTGATACTGATACCAATAGGGTACTTAATTTGATACCCTATTGTCTAACTACAGGTGTGTAGTATTGCAATAGCAACTTAAATTCTATAGCACATTTCGTACATGGGCAATTTAGAGTGCTTTATATATATTTATATATATATATAAGAAAAATAGGTTCCATATAATTATAATTAAAATAAAGCACATAAAATAATAATTAATATAACGGTGCTTTCACACCTGCCCTGTTTGGTTCAGTTCAATCGAACTCGAGTTCATTTGCCTTCTCAGTGCGGTTTCATTTGGGTAGGTGTGAACACAGCAAACAGACTCGGGTGCACAACAAAACAACCGGACAGAAACCTTCTTGAAGAGGTGGTCTCGGTCCGGTGACAAACGAACCTCAACTTGAGCCACTGCAGTCACATTATGCATTGTTTGGGTGAAACAAGCATGAGCATGTTACAGTCCTGGAGGATTATTAATGTGCGCCTCCTCCTGTACTGCCTTAATATGCACATTCATCACATCCAATGCATCAAAACATTGTTTTCTAGTTGGAGCCGCACCTCATTTTCAAACTATGCAAGCAATATAGACCACGATGACCAGCGCTAAAATCAACCTGCATAGTTGTCCCTCCATTGTGATATTAGAAAGTGTCACATTTATCTTGCAAGTGTACTCTTCTTCAAAGTTTTCTTTACTTCCTGAATTTTTCCCACATGGAAATTCTGACCAATCAAGAATAGCTTTCTCGCACAAGGCCTTTGATCTGGTCAAGTGCAAGTGGACGTCAGACGGCAAAGCAAGTAAACTCTGGGTCTGAAAGCACCTTAAGAAGAAAATACAAAGAACATAAAATAAAATAAAACATAGTGAAAGTATAGCCATAGATTAAACCTTTTTGTAGTATCTCAGCATGTGGACCTGCCAGCTCCATCAAATACGCTGCACTCGAATTCTACATACCACAGACTGTATGGGCTGCAGATGCTGCAGCATTGAGCCAATCGCATGTTGCATTATATTTAAGAATGCTTGCAGTGATTGGCATGTAAGAAAAAACATACAAATAGTGATTTCTTTTTTCTAGATTCAGGTACAAAAAGGGAAGAAACCAGGTATTGCTTTGAGTGGAGAAAGTAGTTTAGTAGTTTACTCTGTATGTTTATTTTTTGTGCGTTGACATCAACAGCTACAATCTTACTCATGTGCTTTTGTGATTCCTTCTCACTCGTAAAACTAAAAGGGCATTCAGAGAGCGCAAAACTCCAAGACCAAATCCCTAGCAATATTAACCAAATTGGAAAATAACTTGTGTATCTGCTCTGTGATTGGATCCACTGCAAGATTTAATAGGTTCTTCCTTGATTGATGCTACACCCTTCCTCCAAGCTTTAAAATCAGGCCTGTAGTTTTTCTGTAATTCTGTTGACAGACAAGCAAATCAAACCGGAAACATAACCTCTTTTTCGGAGGGAAACATTGCTCTATGTTGCTACTAATTTATCTGGATAGAAGTGGTTGAGGGGTTTTGAGAAACTTTCTTTGAAAGAAGGATGGAAAAGTGATGAGAGATTATGACATTAATCTCATTCTTACTTCTTGCAACCAAGAAGAGCGATATATTTTTAGAATTTAAAATGAATGTTGAAAGTTTCCTACTCAGAGTAATTAATGATCTTAATAGCCTGAATCACTAACAAGGACAAAGTATCTCCTTCCAGACAGGACTCAGGCTCAGCACCAATGAGTGCATTAATTAGGGCAGAAAATCTGACAGAACGGTCTGGTAAAGAAGAAATAAATGAGACATTTTAAACTTGAACTTATTTCTGTCTTCATCTGTTTATCTCTCTAGGTTGTCTATATTTGCTGGAGCATGATGAAGAGTACACTTTCACGCTGCCTTGTGCATATGCACGCTCCATCCTCACTGTTCCCTGGGTGGAACTGGGCGGCAAAGTCACTATCAACTGCGCCAAGTCGGGCTACTTGGCGGTCATCACCTTCCAGACGAAACCATTTTATGGTGGCAAATTACACAAGTGAGTTCCTCCCAGGGTACAAGTCGATATTAACGGCATCGTCATGTTGTGAATATCTCTAAAGTAACAGCAACATTTGAGAAACAGACATATTTTTTCATACTTTTAAAACAATATGAAATGGTGTCCTTGTATTTATTTTATTGCTCTGTTGATATGTAGGGTAACAGCGGAGGTGAAGCACAACACCACCAACGCAGTGGTGTGTCGTGTGCAGGGCGAGTGGAACGGTGTCCTGGAGTTCAGCTACACCAGCGGAGAGACGAGGGTGGTCGACGTCACCAAGCTGCCTGTTACGAGGAAGTGCGTTCGGCCGGTTGAGAAGCAGGGACCGACTGAATCCAGGTCAGAATAGTGGTGGGGTTTAATTGTTGCATTTTTATTTTGTCATTGTTTTAGTCCATCTAGGGCTCAAAGTACTTTTATTAAGGCTGTCAATCAATTAGAATAGTGAATTGCAATTAATCACAAATTAATTGCACATTTTCTATCTGTTCTAAATGTACTTTAAAGGGATATTTATCAGGTTTTTAATACTCTTATCAATGTGGGACTGGACAAATGTGCTTTAACACAATGTAGTGTTCAACTTTACACTTGTAAAGGTTAACTAAGCGGCCCTCATTTTTTTAAGCAGCTCCACGTCCTCCGTCGGTAACCCAATTCACATTGACAGCAAATGCAAATAATTTTTCTTCTTGTCGAGAGAGCCATATGGCAGGGCTGTGAAGCTGAACTTGCCATTCAAAAGACCCCTTTCTTTATCCATTTATTCTCACGGAGGTTTGTTTCTACATTCTATCCATAACATTACTGCTGCATTGCTTCCAGATTTCTCAAAGGGATTGGTCAAGGGTCATAATTATAGAAGGTACGCGCGTCAGTCTCATGTCAAAAAAATTGTGGCATTAAAAGGAATTTGCGTAAACTTGTTATTAACGCGTTAACTTTGACAGCCCTATTTTTTTTTGCATTTAACTCATGAAATTACACTCGAAATTACAGTAATGTACAGTGAAACTGCTACTTTTGTTTTTTTTTTAAGTTTTTCTTTTAAATCTTATTAGGACTTCTTTGTTTACTTCTTTTCCTCTATTAAATATGCTTTTTTTTCATATTACATAATTGATAAATATATGTGATTGATGGAATATGGACGTCATTACCAAGTTCTTATGATAAAAACAGCTTTCAGTGCTTTTTGTGAAAATCAATGACACCAAATGTGACATGTTATTTAAAAAATAATGATTTTTCATTAAAAATATTAATTAAAAAATCGAAAAAGCACCAAAATCCCATATGAAGAGTTGTGTCCTGTGTAGTGATACATTTTAATAATAACTTTGAGTCACTTGGACACATAACATTGCAGAGTTTTTTTTTTGTTTGTTTTTTTTAAAAAGGGCTTTTATTTTTTATTAAAATATTTATGAAAATAAGTGTGCTGACTGATGTAAAACTGCTCTTGTTCAACCACTTTTAAAAAGGCCATCTTGAGATTCCTCTGATCTTAACAATTTTAGTCCTATTTCTATTTCTAAGCTCTTGTTTTTAGCTAAGGTTTTAGAAAAAAGATTGTCTCGGAGCAACAGCGGAATTTTTTTAATGCAAACAAAATCTTTGAGAAATTTCAATCTTGTTTTAAAAAACACCATAGTACTGAAACAGCTCTTCTTAAAGGGGAACACCACCCAAATTAAGAATTCCAATATGTTATTTCCATGGCCAGTCAAAGTTTAATCACTATTTGTGAACATGTGCTACTTTCTGTCAATGCCAGAAACCAGTGAAGTCTCAAACTTGTGATGTCATAGGGTATAAGTTTGGAGATGCTCCATAGACAATGGATGGGAGACAGATTTTTTGGACCCACAGAATGTTTATCTTTATTAAACCCAAATTAACGTTATCCTATTGTCGCGTTCTCATATACTCAGAGTATTCCCCTGAGTGCTCTCAGTGCCATCTATAACAGTGGTTCCCAACTGGTGGGTCGAAATCCAAAAGTGGGTCGCAGGTACATTCTTAATGGACCGCAAATGACTTGCAAACATGTAATTTTATGTATAAGTACAGTGAATTTTCACCACAGAGCTTTTATTTTGAAGTTCCTGTTCTTGCTGTAGAGTGAGTGATTAATGGACAGCTACTTGATAGAGACAGCAAACTAGCTCAACGACATGGCCAAATGCTAGTATGACACCGAATATATTAAACTGTGTGGACCTGGAACTAATAGGCCCGTTTCCACTGAAGAAGTTCCTGGTACTATTTGGGGGGCAGGAACTACTACAGGAACGCCCTCTCTCTTGGCCCTCTCAACCACCATGTCTCCACCGAGAGAGCGGAGTAGGAGGAAGGTTCCTGTAAAGTTGCCGTGCTCTGGATGTGACGTAATCGTTGCGCGACCATTTTGACCGGGGCGACGTAGTGGCGTAGGGACGCTGATGCTGTTAGCCGATAGTGGTGTCTGTAATAACTCACTGAACTCACAAAGTGATCCGTGAAAAAAAAAAAAAATTTTCCACCGGATGTCTTAGTTACAACATGATTGAGCTACTTCAATCAATCAATCAATCAATCAATTTTATTTATAAAGCCCAATATCACAAATCACAATTTGCCTCACAGGGCTTTACAGCATACGACATCCCTCTGTCCTTATGACCTTCACAGCGGATAAGGAAAAACTTCCCAAAAAAACCCCTTTAACGGGGAAAAAAAACGGTAGAAACCTCAGGAAGAGCAACTGAGGAGGGATCCCTCTTTCAGGACGGACAGACGTGCAATAGATGTCGTACAGAACAGATCAGCATAATAAATTAACAGTAATCCGCATGACACAATGAGACAGAGAGAGAGACAGAGAGAGAGATGCAGGTAATGACAGTAGGTTACAACAACATTATTGAAAGTAATAATATTATAGTTATAGTTCTGGCTACTGTGGTACAATATGTTGAAAGTATGTATTAATATCTGGCAGTATACATGTGTGACAATAGTCATATGTGTATAATAACAGTAGAAGTATGACTAATGACTAATGATGGCAGCAGCAGCAGGAGGCATCTGGCAGGACCACGGCAGCAGCACAACCACACACGTCACGCTGTCCAGGCACCGCTGCGATATGAGTTAATCTGAGAGACAGTGGAGCACAAAGGCTCCGGAGAAGAAGCCGAGTTAGTGACATCCAGAATGGCCGAGTTAGCAAGATGCAGTAATAGAATACGAGAGAGAGAGAGAGAGAGAGAGAGAGAGAGAGAAGGAGAGAAGGTGCCCGGTGTATTATAGGGGGGTCCTCCGGCAGACTAGGCCTAAGTCAGCCTAACTAGGGGCTGGTACAGGGCAAGCCTGAGCCAGCCCTAACTATAAGCTTTATCAAAGAGGAAAGTCTTAAGTCTAGTCTTAAATGTGGAGACGGTGTCTGCCTCCCGGACCGTAACAGGAAGATGATTCCACAGGAGAGGAGCCTGATAGCTGAAGGCTCTGGCTCCTGATCTACTTTTGGAGACTTTAGGGACCACGAGTAACCCTGCGTTCTCAGAGCGCAGTGTTCTGGTGGGATAATATGGCACTATGAGCTCTCTAAGATATGACGGAGCTTGACCATTTAGAGCTTTATAAGTTAACAGTAGGATTTTAAATTCAATTCTGGATTTTACAGGGAGCCAGTGCAGAGAAGCTAAAACAGGAGAAATATGATCTCGTTTCTTAGTTCCTGTTAGTACACGTGCTGCTGCATTCTGAATTAGCTGGAGAGTTTTTAAGGACTTACTAGAGCTACCTGATAATAGAGAGTTACAGTAATCCAGCCTTGAGGTAACAAAAGCGTGGACCAATTTTTCTGCATCTTTTCGGGTCAGGATAGGCCTAATTTTCGCAATATTACGCAGATGAAAAAATGCAGTCCGTGAGGTTTGCTTTAAATGAGAATTAAAAGACAAATCTTGATCAAATATTACTCCGAGGTTTCTTACGGTAGTGCTAGAGGCCAGAGCAATGCCATCTAGAGAAACTATGTCATCAGATAAAGAGTCTCTGAGTTGTTTGGGGCCAAGAACAATAACTTCAGTTTTGTCTGAATTTAACATCAGGAAATTGGTGCTCATCCAATTTTTTATGTCTTTAAGGCAGTTATGGAGTTTAGTTAATTGATTACTTTCTTCTGGCTTCATCGATAAATACAACTGTGTATCATCCGCATAACAATGGAAATTTATAGAGTGATTTCTAATGATGTTACCTAAAGGAAGCATATATAGAGTAAATAGGATTGGTCCGAGCACAGAACCTTGCGGAACTCCAAAACAAACTTTGGTACGTAAGGATGATTCATTACGAACGTCAACAAATTGAAAACGATCAGATAAATAAGATTTAAACCAGCTTAGTGCTGAACCTTTTAGGCCAATTAAGTGATCCAGTCTCTGCAGTAGAATTTGATGGTCAATTGTGTCAAACGCCGCACTAAGATCTAATAAAACAAGAACAGAGACGAGTCCTTTGTCTGAAGCAATCAGAAGGTCATTTGTAATTTTAACTAGAGCTGTCTCAGTGCTATGATGCACTCTAAATCCTGACTGAAATTCCTCAAATAAATTATTATCCTGGAGAAAATCACACAGCTGGTCTGCGACTACTTTCTCAAGGATCTTTGACATAAAGGGAAGATTAGATATTGGTCTATAGTTGGCTAACACCTCTGGATCCAGGGTGGGCTTTTTTAGGAGAGGTTTAATTACAGCTACCTTAAAAGACTGTGGTACATAGCCTGTTAATAGGGATATATTGATCATATCTAATATATGAGTGTTAACTAAAGGAAAGACCTCCTTAAGTAGCCTAGTTGGGATGGGGTCTAAGAGACACGTTGATGATTTAGATGAAGAAATCACTGCGGTCAATTCTTGAAGAGAAATTGGGGAGAAGCAATCTAAATATATATTAGATTCTACAGCTGTGTTTGAGGTTAGATAGGTAGGCCTACCATCTGAGGGCAGGAGGTCATGAATTTTGCCTCTAATAGTTAGAATTTTGTCATTAAAAAAGCTCATAAAATCATTACTGCTAAGGGCTAAAGGAATACAAGGCTCAATAGAGCTTTGACTCTCAGTCAGCCTGGCTACAGTGCTGAAAAGAAACCTGGGGTTGTTCTTGTTTTCTTCTATTAATGCTGAGTAATAGTTTGCTCTGGCATTGCGGAGGCCCCTCTTATAAGTTTTGAGACTGTCTGTCCAGATTAAACGAGATTCTTCCAGTTTGGTTAATCGCCAATTCCTTTCAAATTTTCGCGATATTTGTTTTAACCTACGGGTTTGAGAGTTATACCAAGGAGC